CCGGGCCTGGCGGGCCGGGAGAGTTCTAAACCTCTCCCGGTCCCGCTCCGCCGTCTCCTTCGCGAGCATAACTTGCTCGCAGAAGGAGACGGCAGAGTTCCACGCACTCTCGCTCCGCACGATAGCCGCAATCAGGCTATCGAGCGAGAGAACTCCCACTCCGATGGCCGCCACGAGGTCTCGCCTCTGCTCAACCCACGCCGGGCACTCTGCCAGCGTGTGGAGAGCCGTGTCCACGGTCTGGCCATCGCAGTGGTGGCACTCAGGCGTTGGCTCCTTGCGGATCAGACACAGGTGATCTCCGAAACATCCCTTCCCAGTGATCACCTGCGTCAATCGGTATGAGAGGGTCCCGTGACGCCTCTCGAGCCAATCCTCCATAACGGGTCTTACCGCCGCAATGACGGCGTGCCCGAGACTTTAATACCCTGAGATGTTTATATATAAATATACATTTAAGTTATCGTAAAAACTATGCCATATCCTTTCTCGAGACTGAAACTATATCCATGCCAAATTTCATTAAAATCGGTTCAGCGGTTTAGCCAGACAAAGTTAATATAGCATTTACAATATTGGTAGGGACTTACAGACACTGGCCACTTTATGGTAAGTGAATATCACCACCAATGGACACTCAAGAGATAACCGGTATGCTGATCATTAGTGCCCCTCCCCATAAGGAGAGTGGACTTCCTGTAACATAACTTAGTAGGTGTGAAGCAGTAAAAAAAAACATTTACACCAGCTTTCTGTAAGGCCGTGATATCACACCGTTCGAGCCGTCTTATTTGTGCATGGCTATTGTGTGTTGTATACAAAACAACTTTTATCTAAACTTTTGACATCTAAAAGTAAAAAATAAAAATACAACGCCATAAATGCACACGCAATAGCGTTTTTCAGGGGCTATAAAGACTATAAATTCCTACTTCTTATATGTTTACTATTAACTTACATGTTAGTTAAAAGATCTAGAACGTTATGAAATGTGATGCCTATAAATAAGAAGAAGTGTCTCTTTAAATGAAAAATAATGAATGTATGAATTAATTCTCAACTTCAGTATTAGACTTTGACAGTCTTGCAACTGCCTTTGCCGTTTTTTTTTATGTTAGGGGGACGACAAGCAGACGGGTCACCTGATGGAAAGTGACCATCGCCGCCAATGAACGTCTGCAACTCGGGAGTCACAAACGCGTTGCGGGCCCTTTTAGAAAGGAGTATGCTCTTTTCTGGAAGGTTTGAAGGTCGTATCGGTCTGGAAATATCGCAGACGATAACCCGTTCCACAGATTGGTTGTGCGGGGCAAAAAGTGTCTCGGAAAGCGTGGAGCAGTAGTAATGGAGCGCCAACTATTCAGTTGATGAGGATGAAAATTTTGACGTGTGGAACGATGTAAAACTCCGTTTTTGAGCGTTCTTTTAGCAAGGTATTGTCACATTTGATACACCGGTGGTCACATTTAGATATTCCACCTACACACTGAATGTACAGTGTCTTAGTCTAAGCTTAGCTACAATAATAGATACACTGTATGTTGAATATTGACTGCAACATTGCAACAGACTGTATTTGTAAGGAAAAAAAATCTGCAGCTCCGAAAATACTGTTCTCAACCCCATGCAGGGGCACCTTAGTACCAGGGAGCAAAGGGAACATGGGGTTCCCACACGGGGGGAGGGTCGTCTACTCGTCTGTAGATGGCCCGAGGTATGTCGGGGCACCAGGGACTTCCTTTCTAGGGTATACCTGGTTCCCCGGCTATTAGTACCCGAGACGGCGTGCGGTTTTAGTCGGTTCGAGTCCGACATGCCACCGATAGGGATTTCCGCACGGAAAAAAAAAAGAAAAAAGGGGCACCTTAGTACTAACTTCTACCTCTGGACCGCATCTAACGAAGAGCAACTCGAATCGTCGATAGCCCAAATTTCTCCGATCGGCTTGATCCATTGGCGTTACGTAGAGATGTGGCTTTGCTCTGCATTCTCTATTGTAAAATCATGGAGAGTGCTCCAAGGAATTGTTCAGACTAGTACCGGCCGCAACTTTCTGCCATCGTTCCACACAGCAAAGTTTCCTCCCCATCACATAGATTATTGGTACTCCACCACTGTGCGCTTCTCAAGACACAACCAATCTGCGGAACAAGTTATCGTCTGTGGTATTTCCGGACCCATACCACCTTCAAACCTTTAAGAAAAGAGCGTACTCCTTCCTAAAATTGAATTATTTATATCAAGACGTATTAAATGTTGGAATATTAAATCACAAGCCAAAGTCATCTACTCCAAAATGTGACATATGTTTCTTCGCAGCGTATGATTACAATAAATTCATATGCCATCCCAATAAAATATCAAAGAATATTCCCAAAACCCCTGATTTGTAATTTCTATTTTCAAAGAAAATATAACGCATAAGTTATGGCAATAGAAAGATAACAGAAAAATTTGATATTGCGATGATGCTAGTACCAATTGCGGTAAGAATTTACCAATTACCAAGATCATGATAAGAGCGGTGATAAAACGCATCTCGTTTTTACAGTATGATTCGATTTCGTATGTATTAGGGTTTCGGAATCAAATAAAAAAATATTTTTTAATGGCATTGTGGTAGTACTTTATAACAATTAGCTTTATTGAAGGTCTTGCTGAACCAACTGAGTGTTTTATCTAGATGTAAAACTTTAAGATTAGTGGCAATAGACAAAACTATATTGAAGTTCGATAATGATAATAATAATAAAATAACAACCTCACAAAACTCTCACATTGCCATCTGATCCCAAACTAGGCACTGTACTAGTATGGATTTATCAGCAGTCTGGTGACCACTGATAAGTGGTTACCAGACTGCTGATAAATGCATACTTCTCTTTCTTAATACAATAAATTATTCAGACATGTACATGTTCGTCACACAATTATATGCTTTAGGAGGGAATCATACCGATGACCTCTGCCTTAGCAGTCACAATAACTAACCACAAGACCAACAAACCTCAAAAAGGTTCGAATTGACTAAATTGTTAAGTTAAAAGTAAAGAAGAAGAAGAAGCTTCAGATAAAAGAGAAATTGAAAATGGTTGGCAGCGGATTTACTGCCCATGACTAAGATGGTTTTGGCTTATTGGGGTGGCCTTTGTACAGCAGTAGGCAGCAATAGGCTAATGATGCTGAAGTGCTTCAGATATTTTTGTTAATAAAGAAAAACTAGACTTAGAAATTGTCAATCCAATTTTGTGCAAGATATTACTATTTTACTATCGTTCAATAGTAAGAAAAATGTCCTGTATGAAACACTTTATTGAATGTAAGTATTAGCGGAAAGGATAACTTCTTGGTAATATTCTCAACAATACTCCGTTGTCGATTTCTTATGCTTGTTACACTAAAAAAAACAGTTTATTCTTCTTGGAGGAAGCAACCCAAGCAAATGGGCTATAAGAAGACGTCTTGCTGAAGTTGGTTTAATTCTTAAACGGCTTGCAAATAGTCGAAATTTCATACACGAATATAAATACTCACGCGAACATATGGATTGGACTCCAGACGATTGGCCCAGAGTTGAGTTCAAGTTCATGTTATTCAAGCATGATTGAAGACGGAAGACAAAGAGTATGCAGAAGTTCAGAAAAACGGTGCAAGCAAGCAAATATATACGTTCAAGAAATTCTTTATGAACATGTCGGTCTTATTACGGTCAATATTGGAAAAAATGCCATATTTATGCATCAGAATGCACGTCTACATGCAGCACAGATTGTAAATACTTACCTGCAAGATATCGGCATAATGCGTATGGAGATGCCAACGCGTAATTCTGACCTCAACACTTTGGAGCATGCTTGGGATGAACTCTGACGGTGTATAAAGCTAAGAAACCCGCCACCAATCGCATTTTCTGCTTTGATAGATGAGTGGAAGAATATACCGTAGTATCGGTTCAGAAACCTGATTCACAGTATGCGAAATCGTGTCGATGTCTCAGGTACGTCCCAAATACTGCGAAGTGAATTTACTAATATTTATCTTTAATTCTTTGTATTAAATTGCTGGTTTTTAATTATATTGTGTTTGTCCGAAAAGATGCATGTTTGTTTTATGCCTATTTACAGATGAATGCGTCAGTAAACGTAAAGTATTTTATAACTTAATTCTTTAAATAAATATATTTAAGCACGAATATTGCATTCAAAACTGTGTTAATTTTTTTATGCTAGCTTATATATTTCTAAAGATATTTGCGAAATCACCGACCCGGAAGTATTGCTCGTGAGTGTATAAGCCCAAACATTAGCCAGCACTCTATCTAGGTTATTGGGTTTGAGTTAACAGGTTTGAAATTGTTAGGTTTAGGTTTTATGCATTTGTAATTTGTGAATCTGGACCCAATTTGTATATGAACATATGATTTGTAGGATTTTTTTTAGGAAGAAAAAATGCGATTTAAATCTTAGGGCCTACACTTTAAGTTATTTTTAACGTATTTTGGGAGAAAAAATATGTAAACCTTAAAAATTGCCAACAACAGCAATTTTCGCACTTTTAGGTTAGAATATTTCAGAAACCAGAGGCGATTCGGCCATTTGGGCCTCAGATTCGAATTCAGCGCACCATAAACCATTGGAGAAGTATACGTCCATATATGGTTTTAGTGATTATTTATTTAGATTTTTTTAAATGAACATTTATTTGAAATTCTGTCCACTGTACACTTTATTGCCCGTGACTGTACGTCATGCGTCATATCGGTTACTACGGAACCTTATTTTATGTTTTACACGTTTGTTTAAATTGACGCAGTAAATCAAAAGTAAGCATGTTAGTAGTATTACTCATAATGTTACTTTCACCGAACTATGTTACTGCACGTTACAAAGGTAGTGAATGAAAAATAAGCTATCTATATTTTTATACAAGGGAGTAGCCAATATACGACCTATTGTTCCAAGTTGCGTTGTATTCGAGACTTTCTGTACAGTAGACGTAAGATGAGGCCTCTGTTCGTTCTGTGTTTCATTATTGTGTTTTACATACATGATGGCCAAGCAAATGTTGATGATTTCTTCTCTCAAGTCGGGGTGAGTTTCATTTCCATTTATTATTTCTTAAAAATAAAAAGAAATAATTATTTTTGTTAAATCTAAAACTTTTTCTTGTAAATATTGGCAATTTTATCACCATCGGACATTCTTGGTGTTCTTGTAACTTACTTGTAAGTTGATGGTTAATAAAATTTTTTTATTTATTGTTTAACATTATAAAAAGCAAAAAAAAAAATAGGGCAATAATTTTCATTAAATTATTAAACAAATGATAGGATTTAAAATTTTCAAAGAAGTTAGAAGATAGGAGGGAATTTAATAGGGGGTAGCAAAGGTATTTAAGTGTAATTAATATAATTAATAATAAGTACAATCCAAAGAAAAAAATAAAAAAATAGGTCTAAGAGGTTCTACGAAAGAATTGATTAACACCAGTGTTCTGCAGTAGTATCACTCCAGTCGAGCTGGCCCATTTGTTTTGAAGCACAAATTTTGCTTTTGCACAAAAAAGAGTTTACGTAGTAACTTAAAATGCTCAGGGTAGTGTGCATACACTCGTTTTTCTACTTCAGGCATTACAATTTACGCTAGAACCGTAATCAAATTGCTTTCATAATATTGATAGTGCTAATGCTTCATGTGCCTGACAAAGGGGACGACAAAGTTAACAACGAAATCAAATCGAACACAAATGAAGGCTAGGTGATGTGCTGTTAGGTCTGTTCGGTTCATCTTCTCTAACTCGACAACCCAAGCTCTGGACCGGACATTAAGTACTTTCAAGTCGAAGCAGCGGATTTAGCTTACAAGCAATAAACCATTATTTTGGTAAACCAAAATATACATTTCACGCTAGACTCTGACAATAATTTATGCAACTGATTCCTCCAGCTTCATTCTATCCCTTTAAAGTAATTTTGTCAGCTGACTTATTACAAAAACATATATATTTCACGTTTTATTTCAGCAAGCCTTCAGAATCACGTGGGCATCTGTAGTCGACGCTATCAAGAGACCTGTTAGGAATAAAAGAATTGGTCCAGGACTAAGTAAGTGTTTCCAATCGATCAGTACATAGCAATATCTTTAAATTACACTCTATTCGAATTTGTAGTTTAATTTATTGCCAAATTAATAATCTTACATGTATTTTTATGATCTCTTGAATACATGTATCTCCAAAAAAATTGCATCGTCTACGTTGGAATTGATTTTCTGAATGCCATTGAAGACAATTTATTTTCCTCTCAATAAATGTAGAAGAGGAGTGCGATGAAGTAAGAGTGAGATGGCCAAAATCAAATGGTCATTTAAAAAAATTGTTACTTGAAACTCTTTGTAACGAATTAAGTTACAAATAGATTTTCCAACTTTTTACCTAAGATTATGATACGTATGCTGTATTTTGGATGGGATTTCTTTGACTTTCTTTTATCCACTTATCTTCTGCTACGTTTGTTTGTTTCCCAATGTGATTATTATCTGAAACCGTTTTATTTTGTATTTTTTAACCAATCATGTGATACAAAAAAAACCTTAATATACTCTTAGTAACCTCTTTATAGTTTTAAAATTAGATTAAGAATATTAAATTCAATGATAAGCTCCTTTTCTTTTATCTATATCTCTTTCAGAGCGAAAGGCGCTAAGAGATATGACCACTCATTTGCCATATATTTGGTCATCACCAAAGGACTCGGAACAATTCCTAAATGACATATCTCGAAAATCTGCCAACGATATTAAGGTGACCCTGCCGCTCTTATTACATCCAAAATACAAGGCAATAAGAGAGTGGATAAACTCGGAAAATGAAAAAATATCTTCTCCTACAGAGCAAAGTAAGAAATACAATATTTAATGAAAAAAACGCTTTGTTACAGTTTAAACATCCTGTAAACAAGAGATCATATTCCAGAGGACTCTTGTCCTAATTTTTTGGATTTTTATGTTTGTAAATACACAAAGTTACAGACAGACATATCAAGTTTGCCTTTAACTTTTTTATGATCAAATATGTCCATAAATGGCAGAATAGCTTTTCTTCAACAAATTGCATTTATTCGCTTGTTCGTACTCTTTTCCATTCATTTTCTTTAGCCACCGACTTATCACTTTTCACTGTTTTAATTCTTATATCGTTAGTCACGATAGACATTTCCGTTTCTAAAACAATCTATTTTTTCTTTCTCCCTACTATAGCACTGTTTTATTAATATTACAATTTGGATTCTTTTCACCGAATCTTGTTTAATATGTCTTAACACACATATTTACACGTGCATATCTAAATTAACTTTTGTTGTTATTTTTTTATCATTCTAGTCGCTAAAAACCATACAGGTAGTAAGTTGTGTTATTTTGGTGTTTTAACTCAAAGAATAATTCTTTAATTGTATGATCTTATCGACCTTTTACTATCGATCTCTGAAGGTTAACTTTACATTGCAGTAGTTTTTACTTAAATTTCAACTCTTTATAATTATATATAAATATGTGTTTAGTAAACGATATAAAATACATTTTACATTCGTAAAATATTTTTATTATCGAATGTAGACGAAATATTCCTTATTCGATTTCTTTAAATTGAGATAATGAAGAAACACTTGAAGCACTTTTATCCATACCATGTTTGTGAACTGGCTTTTTTCTTTTTCTTAACTACCTTCCAATAACCAACAATATATATAACCAGCAAATAATTCAAGAATATTAAAAATTACAATTGAATTTCGAGAAATGAGCAAATACTAGAGCTTTTTATTAGTCTGGAACCTTCCAAAATTAATCTTACTAACAGACTAACTGGTACTTAAAACAACAGCGGCCTGAATGTTCATTTATGTGACCGTCCCTATAATTTAATTAACCTTCCTTAACATTAACAAAATTTGTCTTTCAACGGTTTAACTTAAGCCGTGATCGGTAATTTCTTCGAAATACTAGGCTAAAGTGAAACGAGAAGATCAATAACAGTCGACGTCCTATCTATTAAACATATAAGATGTTTTAATTTAAAAATAATTGTATTAAGCAAACAGCTAAGTTTTATTTTTATATTACTATTATTATAAGGCCAAAGTTTTGTGATTTACAAAACTTGCCACTTAGAATCGTAAATGGGTGATCGAAATTTTTCAAACAGCTTGTTCTTAAGTTGTTTTTTTCTGTAAATGCAACTTTTTGCTATCTCTCGTTCTCTTTATGATTTTGGAATTCCTAATTTCCTAAAAAAATATGTTAATATTTCTCTCCCTATTCTATTAGTTATTTTTTGTATCCCGTTTTCTTTTTTTTCATTTTATCTTCTTTGCAAAATATAATTTAAAACTTTTTCATAGGAATAAAACCTTAAAACTTCTATCAATTTCTTAATATTAATCTATTAAATATACTGTGTGACTCATAATCTTAAACTTTCGCCTCCCGTGATATTTCAATATGTAGGTATATACTGCAATTTACACTTTCACCACATAGGTAATACATTTCTTGCAATTGTCTGACATTTCGATTAGAGCACATAGTGTGCGTTTATTTCACATGCACTCAATCGTTTCAGTGACCGCGTTCGACGTTGCTATTGGCCCGTACTGAAATCTTGACCAATCCAAACGCCAAACACGCTTGCCGACGAGAGCGAGTTAATGTGAAATAAACTCAAACTATACTTTAACTCTTCAGGTGATTCGTGGCCTTGACAGCGTTTCTCCGTTAATATAGACAGTGCAGTCTGTCTATAAGTCCTGTGGGAATTTAAAATTAGAGTCGATTTGTAAAAATGCTTAAGTCACATACATGAAATGTTAAGATGTGCCAATTTTTTGCAGGTTCTTCGAATTCTACTTTTATATTCCCTACGGAAGTCGTTACTGAAGACGGCGGACAAATCGACAATAAGGAATCTAATATTTTTGGACCTCTTGTTTTCATTTAGACAGAACTTTCAGTAGATCTTTTTCATATGTCATTTATTTAATCCGCTAATGATTATACGGTTCTGTAAAAACCGGCTATTAAAATTAGAATAGTTTTTGTTGTTGGTTTTAATTGTTTTTTTTGCCATGTGTTCTATTACTTTAACAATGTTGTGAAGATTTCTAGACATTTGCTTGTACTCGTATACACAGGCTGTCCTTGAAAATGGGATACTAGCTTTCAACACTTACAATAATTGTCTTTGACATTCACTTTTAAAAAGAATAAAAAAAAAACCGTTTTAATTTTTAGATATTATCTTCTATACCTTCTTTTAAATCTAATTTAAACATTTTAAATCGAACTAAAAAAAAAAAGGTTAAGTTACTGATTGAATAATTCTGAAATAAAACATATTTATTTTCGATTTAAAATCCTTCATGCGTTTAAACTGCTTTTATAATAATTGAGCTGATAATATTTGAAAAATTTTAATGGTCATGAAATTTTAACTAATATTTTTTCAATTATTTTTGGATGCATATCTATATGCTAGATCTCCTTTCAGAAACTTTAATAAGTATTTCATTTATTTGTACAGCCGATATAAAAAGCCTCTCACCATGCGTTATGGTCTTTGTGTGATTGGATAATTGTTCGATGAAATTCGTTTTTTGAAAACGGTCACAACGCGTTGTGGCAATCACAGAGAGAACACATAGCGATTCTTGTTATTTCTTTTTTTTGTTGCTATTATTTATTTGGAAAAAGGTACTCATGTCGTGAAAAATATAATATTAATTATAATTATGTAAAAATTACAAGTATCTATTAATATTTTTAACTATTTAGTTTTATATTGCCACTAAAAACCTGTTTATTTTGTAATTTATACTGTTTTTCTATCTTAATTTTTTTTATACTTTATTTTACTTTATTTACACTGTTTTTAACACTATGTAATATTTAATGTATACTTCATACTATGTAGTATTTAATTTATACTTAACAGTAATGTAAAATAGTATTTTTTTAATAAATTTATCGCACTATATAATTTGCTTTATTTTAAAATTAAAAATATGATACTAAAAATACACCGTCATATTAAATATTTATAAAATGTAAATTGTATTGATGATTGCATGTTATTGAATACTTAGATAATATCTATGTAGTAATAAGTGAATATTTTGTACAAAAACATTTTTAAGAAAATCTCAGCAACGCAAGATTTGTATATTTATTTATTTTGTATATTTAAAGTTAATGTAGGTATAGAAGTGCAGAACGCAATTTTTTTACAAAACATAAGAACAACGACATCCCGCTTTACGCGTCTAGTATATATGTATGTATATATGCTGATCCTCTGTAGTCTATCGAGTTCGAGTCTATACAATCACACTTCAAGTTATATCCTGAACGATATTAATATAAAAATTAACTACGATCAAAATATGACAACGAAATGAATTTAATATATAATAATAATAATAATTATATTGTTTATTTAAATTTAAAAACGTATTACAATATTCAATTACTTCTGCCAAACTGCACAGCAGTTTGTTGGCAGACGTAGCTCCCACTTTATCATATTACATTATTTTAACTATTGTTATTACACTCTTTATTATAATTTAACAATTACATTATCATATCCTTTTTACAAAAATTAAAAAAATTATATTTGAAATAATAAAATAAATAACATGCAAAATTACAGTAACGATCATTTAATCAAATTAATTAAAATTACCTAGTGATTAGTTATTGTTAACAAAAATACATACATATGTATGTATAAATTAAATTCGTTTATATGTATAACTATTTTTATGGTATTGCTCTTTTATAATATTAAATAGTATTATTAATTAAGTAGTAAATTATATTTTTGACTTTCCTTTCACAATTTTTTCCTATTCTTGTATTATTGACTTTTACTGAATCATAAACAGTTAATATTCTGTGATATCAGAGTCTTTATGGAGAATTATCTGTGTTTACATTATTATATTTCTAATTGTCATCTATTCGATGAAATAGTATGCTATATCACCGAACAGATGTCAACTGTAGACAACCCCCACTAGTAGAAGCAATTTAATTTAATTCATTGTAATGTATTATTACATTCCAAAATATTAACAAAGGTAATTTTAGGTCCGAATGGACACTATATTTAAAAACTAATTATACACTTATACCTACAATATAATATCTACATTTATTCAAAAACAAATAATCACTAAAATCGTATATGGACGGGCCTGTTAGTCTAGTGGTTAGTGACCCTGACTGCTAAGCCGGAGGTCGTGGGTTCGATTCCCACCTTGAACAAATATTTGTTTGATGAACACGATCGTTTGTAATGTATCTGGATGTAATTTATCTATAATATGTATGTATTTAGAAATATATAAGTATGTTTATCAGCAGTCTGGTTACCATAGCACAGGCTCTGCCTAGTTTGGAATCAGACAGCCTTGTGTGAGATGTGTGATATTATTATTATTATTTACTGTAATATAATGCACTAAATATATCTAGATGAACTGTATTATATTTAAGCTGTAAAACAATTAAAATTTTATTTTATTTTATTATGACTATTATATCCAATAAATAAACATTACAATGCAAGTATATAAGTATGTTTATCAGTAGTCTGGTTACCATTCTGTCCGTCTTTGGTTTGCCTAGTTTGGGATCAGAAAGGTGTGTGAGAAGAGGGTAGTTGATTGTATTATAAATAAATAATAATGACATTATGATATATATTCTTCAATTGATTAGTCAAAAATAGTGACGTCATAAGTTGCCATTTAGTACATTTGTCATACAAATATGTCATTTTGACAGATTATAAAAGTAACTAATTTGACTAAGCTGTCAACTACCCTTTTTTATGTTAGGGGGGGCAGACGAGCAGACGGATCACCTGATATAAAGTGATCATCGTCGCTCATGAACGTCTGCAACTCAGGAGTCACAAACGCGTTGCTGGCCTTACCCCTATTATGAAATTATTATTATTATAGTGGTATTTACTCAGTCTAAATAACTGTATCTACTCAATCAAAATATTAAAGGTTACTTTATATTTTAGAAACAAGTCTCCAAATGTAAGATTTACTTGTTGACTTATTAAGCCGTTTACTATCCAGTGTTTTATAAGTGCATTACGATATATTATGTGTAGAATTATCTCGATAAATTTAAGAAGGCTTACGAAGATTTTTTGTTTTTGTGTCAGCTGGAAGACGTTACACAGTAGATGATGATCTTGCAACAACGGAAACGGAAAAAAATGAACCAGAGAATATGAAATTGGCGCTGCCCCCCGAAGGTTTAACTTTGAACTTAATGGTAAAAAGTCGTAACACACACACACCAATTGCAAACCTAAAGTTTGACGTCTATGAACACGATAAAAAAGTAGTTTTATCCTTATCTCAAGAACCGTCTCGCACTGCCTTGCCTCCAAGGGATAATCGTAATGTCACGTACCCGACCAATTGTCCAAAAGGATATATCAGAATTGGTGCGTCTTGTACTAAAAATGACTTCGAAGATTAATAACAAATTGGAAATAGAAGAAATTTGTTTGAAAATATCTTCAAAGAAATGAGCAAAACAAAAATGGCAACCGACGAATAGAAAAAATAAAGATCAAATGTATTATATTTGTTATTTGTAAGTTCGTTGAAGTAGTTTAGTAAATGCAAATCATTAATGTTTGTGTATTATTATTTTTAATATGGTGTACAAGATAGATTCAAACACACATAAACGTCCCACAATAGATCTAGTCGAACTTGTATAACACCAAAGTTCAATAATATTTATTTATTTATTTATTAATAAGTACTAAAATTAGTTATAAGTGTAATATGTATGTGTGGTCATACATATTACACTTAAAACAAATTTTGTCAATGTGTGGCATTGCACCTGATATGTATGACAATTATGTTGTACATAGCATTTACTGTAATAAAAAAAAAAACTAAAGAGAAGTATACTTAATAATAATAAACTATTTGAATTACTACTACACCGCCGAGTGCTCTGGGTTCAAAACCCACATGGAGCGACACTTTGTGTGATCCACAAATTGTTGTTCTGAGTTTGGTTGTTCTTTGTGTCCATTTCATGTATGTTTGTGAAGTCCCCCGCGACACAGAATGTAGTCCGAATGTATAATATATATATATATATATATATTATATCTAATTAACATTTATTTCAATTATATTAAATATATAAAAATATATATTAATTGGGGTTGAGGTTAATGGACACATTTGCTTTTTTAGTTTTAAACTCATTAAACGATTGGCTTGACTCGTTAAAGATTTCAATGTCTGGATCACGAGTTTGGATACTATTATATTGGTTAAGGATTCTGTTTACGGGTAAATATGGACCTAAATTAGTTTTTGAAAATAGTGACTGGAATATTTTAGTTATTTTATGTCTGTGATAAGAGTGAGGAATATTCAAAGATAAAGAATATTTAACATGATTTAAGCGGCTACATCTCGATAAGTATGTGCGAAGCATATTGAAATGTCATTGATTTTTTTTAAATATTGTATCCACAAACATCAATCAGCAATTCAATGGCCTATTCAACTAACCATAAAGAAAACTTTTTAAAATAAAAAAAATTTGTAATGAATATACACGGATTAGGGCTACAAAAACACATTAGTGTACGTCAAGCGCTGGAAATCATATCTACTCCGAACGAACCACTTATCTAGTATCTTGACTTATCAAGGTTTTCCCCTTTTTTTTTGGATACCACCTATCGGTGGCATCCAAAAACTCGAACCGACTAAAACCGCACGCCGTCTCGGGTACTAATAGCCGGGGAACCAGGTATACCCTAGAAAGGAAGTCCCTATTCTTCTATGAATTGATCTAAAAGCTAAGTAAGAAACCTGTAGAAAATGCTAAGCCTAAAAATCTCATTTTCAAAAGAGCCTTACACGTAACAAACTAAATTTATTAATGACTTACACTGAGCACTGATTAAAAATTGCACAGGTTACAATTTTGTTTGATGTACGAGTACATATTGTTTCTATAAAAATTAAATAAATATAATCTATGATAAAAATAATCTACGGGAATTAGAAAAAAAGCAAGCTACTTAAGTTTGGAGTACTATTTGTACTTTTTTACAGACTGACGTACGTCTCCTTCTGAAGATAATTATTCCTTTTTTAAACGCAATGAATATCATTATTTGTTGATCAGAACCACTGCATCTGTTGCCCTGATGTCGGTGATATTACGATATGTTAAAAGTTGGTTACAGGTGCGACATTATCTTGATAAATAAGAAAAAAAAACAATATCTCCTGTTATTCTTAAACATGCACAACGCGCTCTGTAGTTTAAACGATTTGATGTATTTAGGCTTGGAAGCTATCGTAGGATTCGTCTTAATTGTGTGAGACACAGTACATTTTAACGCAGTCGGGTTTCCGTTTTCTGTTTTCCAAAAACTACCTAGCTTCTTTACGTATGGATAAGAATATCATATAATATTTTACTTAGAAAATTTAATGAGTCTTTTACAGTATATAAGCTTAAGTGAAAAATAAATATATTATTGTGCAATTAAAATATTTACCACATTTACACTATTTACATACAAGCATCAAACAATTCCTAAACATCATTGCCTTCTGATGGTGTTCCGAGAAAACTGGCAGCATTGCCACGTTGAATAGCAATGCTAATTCTCTGTGCTAGAAAAAGCAAACTTAGTTAAAATGTTAAAAACAGAGCCAATCCAACCAAAATTCAGCTAAGGACCAACTCTGCTGTGCAGAGCACTCAGCTATAAAATATAAAACTTATTACCACCAAAAGTGCTTAAGAAATATACTGTCAAATTATATCTTATACTGTCAAATTTTGACAGACGATCTTAATAGACATCCGCTAAATGAATATGTAATAATATAAATGTAGGCCATAAAGTTTCAAATTAACTGAAGCTTCTTTCTAAAATAATTTTGTTTTGTAACAGGGATCTAGTTTCACGAAGTTTACAAACATCAAACGGACACAAAGAACACCCAGACTTAGAACAACAATTTGTGGATCACACACCCATGTGGGAATCAAATCCACAACACTCAGCGTAGTAGTAAGCGGCTTGGCGACCGCTGAAACTACTACGCCATCCGTGCAGTAATTATGGACAATGTTTTGCAAAATATTCAGCACCTCTCACCTGATTATAAGTGAAAGTGATGCAATGAAATCACAATCACAAGTGGTAAATCTGACTTTTACACCTGTGACTGATTCACAAAACTACTGCTACTTAATTATTATTATTACGCTAGCACAAGACTCGCAAAAGGTCTAAATCTTTTATTACCTGGTAGCTGTCTATATAAGGAGTAACTTAGGCTATTTTGCCTCTCAGAAAAACCATTTAAAATTGTTGCCCAGTCCGGTAATCGAACCCACCAAGGCAGCGCTTTTCAAATTCCACGCGAACGAACGCGGGGTACCAGGTAGTATTGTTTATATGCATATTATGCATTTATCAATCTATATACCGGATATCCTGATACTGAAATTCTAGATACTGGCACCTGTCAATCTCCTACAGTTTTGACTGACTCCCGTAAATAATTTATGAATCTCTGATGCGGATTCAAACACAAATTCCTTTATTTTTTCGCCATTAACTTTCTATAGAGTCCCTTCTTATAGAAGAAGTTCATCAATAAACTCTCTCTCTCTCTCTCTTCTCTATATAGTAAAACAGGCATTATCCTTAAATTTTTTACTTTAATTCTCAGCTCGGGTTTGTGATTTTAATGTCAATTTATGGCAAAAGAGATGGTCCATACGTAGCATCTACGTCATCACCTCAGAGAGTCGATGTTCAGATGTAAGCATATCCGACGTTACGAATCAAAGAGCGTATAATATAACTTAAAGGACGTTTTGCTTTACTAGCTAGGTTTACTAGCTCTTACTATTGCTTCTGTCGATGTTTTGAGACAAGTCAAAAGAAGTTTTAATTCCTTGAACGTAACATAAAAATAATACCTATGTTGTTTAATATATCCACATACATTGTAAAATAAATTATTTAGGTAAAAAAATGATTACTCGTCTGATTCATCAAAAACTTTACCGTTGCTTCCACAGTAAAGAAGATAAACTAAACGCTGATTGATAGAATTCAAGATTATCGTAAACCTCTTTCAGGACTTTTAGTAAATCAATTTTTTCTTTTACTTTTTATGTTAGAGGGGGCAGACGAGCAGACGTCGCAGGTCACCTGATGGTAAGGCACTACCGCTCCCCATATACGCCTGTAACTCAAAAGTTACAAGCGCTAGACTGTCCTTCAGTTCCCCCCTCTCAAGAATCAAGGGGAGACGGATGTTTGGGCTAAGGTAACTTTACTTGTTCGTTAAAAAGTAAGTAAGGAATTGTTTAATAGCAGTTTTCGGTGAGACCGTGGTATCAATCCGCAGTACTATTCTCTAAGAAAACAGCCTTGCGTACAGCACTGCAGGTCAAGCCGGCCCTGACGTGCAGAAGGCTCTCCCACGGCACGACTACCTCCAAGTCTATCGTAAACGCTCTTTTGACAAACGATTGTCACAAAATCAGCTTTATATATTATGTAGTATTTGTATAACGTTTATACTGAAAAATTCACATTCTGCTATTGTTCGCGACTGTTTTATATGTGTGTTATGTGTGACTGTTAAGTGTTGAATCATCTAAACCTTTCGGCAGCACTCTTTCGTTCTTGACAGTTATTTATCATTCTCCAGTGGACTGAAGAGGTTTTGTTGTAATGCATAATTTTAATGTCTATATTTATATCGCTTTTTCTTTTTGGAATTTTAGTTTCATAAATTCTTACTACATGGCAGTGACAGACAAAACAGAAACAAAACAGGTGAGTTTTATTTGTATAATTTTAACTATTTTAAAATTACAGTCGTTTGTTATGAACATATTATGTTGAAATAAAAATAATAATCTAAACAACGACAAGCATTCTGCGTATGTTTTTTACTGACTGACCGGCACAACTTCGTCTGCGACTTTTAAAAGGAATAAATTTTTCCCGTGTTTGCAACATTTTTTAATTGACGCTACGCTCCTATTGGTCGTGGCGAAATGCCATATAGCCTATGCCTTCCTCTATAAATGGGCGTGTAGCCCTCTATTTTTTTTTTACAGGGTGGAAAATCCCTTCGGATCTCCTGCTCCTCGGGGCTAAGAGCTAGGAGTATGTGGTGATTCCACTAAAAACCACCCCGACGGCCGGCCTCAGGTGCCCTACTCTGGGAGGACCTGGACCATGTTATTTCAGGTCCTCCCCGAATTGACACCATGCCTAGTCAGGCCCTATCCCAGGGGAAAAACACTTCCCCCCTCAATCGCGACGTGGGGGCCCAATTTCGTCTTAATGCAATCAGGCCGCCATCCTATCCCCTACCGCAGCATTCAATCTGTCACCAGAGGTCCCCACTCTCAGGCGGCTCGCGGCCCCGTCGGCGGCTGGTATGGTCGCCGAAGTCCTCTACGCTCGGGATCGGCCCTCTCCCGATCCCGTTTCCAAAAATGGGCTACACTACATTACTAAAAAAACTGGAAAAAAGTATCAATTCGAACCAGCAGTTACTGAGATTAGTGCATTCAAACCGGCACAATTTTCAATTTCATGTTTCGTATTCACATCTAAAATTTAGATTTGAACTTGTAGTTCAGTTTACAGTTACAAAAAATAACCTTATTTTTTACCTTTAATTAATTTGTGGCTAAGTAGTAACCGAGTGTGAGTAACACCTTGCAGCAGTCTTAACCAGGTTAGTCAATAGATAGGTGACCATTCTTAACAAACTGAAAGCCTTCCGTGTCTCGGAGAGCACGCTAAGCGTCGGTCCCGGTTGCTATGCGAACATGTGTGGCAATTGTTACGGGCAGTTGGAACCCTAAAAAGTCCACCAACAGTCTTTTTACAGAACTTTGGTATTACTTGGGTTGTGGAGGTCTGATGGAAGTCGCTTCGCGTAAAAGCTATATCGTAGTAGATTTAAAGCCGACCCCTACCTAGTATGGGTTCGCAGGAGGTATTCTGCATTGGCGGTAGATTTAAAGTCAAATCGTAACTAAACTCGACCCCAACCTAGTATGGAAAAAAAGATAGGGAGAAGAATTGATTCATGTTTTTTTTAAATACGAGCATTAATAGGAGTATATGACTCTGGTTCCTAGTATTCTTGTTCAACTAAATGATTATGACAGGTTTACATGAAGAGGTTAGTTTATTAAAGACGTAAAACTGTTTATTACTCATGAACCCAAATGGTTACAAGCTCGTAACATACTTATAGGTTACAAACCTGGCACCTGGAAAAATTTATAAAGGCCAATAAAACATGAAACATATAATTGTGTATGTTTTTTACAGGTTGCGTATCGCAGAGCAAGCGCTAATGAGAAGTCAACGACTGAAGTAACTATTAAATCTCATGATGTTCTGAGCGGTTTGTGCATTTTTTACTATTTATTTTATTGTAATTAGGTGTTTTTGTCAATTTTTAATCACTCGACATTATAAAATGTAATGTATATTGTGCTACGAATTTGTCGTTTCTATTTTAACCTTTTTTAAATTTTTATTTTCATATATTTAGTTAAAATAGTCACTATCATAAGTCGATTATTATAATAGGTAGAGTTATTTAGAGTGAGTGGTTTCGTTTCTTTTGTTTTTCCCTTTGGTATATATGCGTATATGAAAGCTTTTGTGTCAATAGAGTTTTAAATCTAGGTTTCATCAAACAATCAATGTCCTTTTTGTATTTTTTATAAAACTTGTACAAGTATTTGTATGTATATTTGTATTTCGGAGCACAACAATTCAATTGATGCTGACTACCGCCTGAGGCGAGCGCTCAGAGTCATATTTACTCTACACAAAAAACCATAACTTTTGAACACTGAAATTAATCACTAACGCTTTTATTGCAAATTTGTTTGTTAAATGTAAATGATCCTTGTATTAATTATTAAGTGGACAGAGATAGTGACACGATAAAGGCAGTCCTGGCTACCCAGATATTAGATTGGAGGATTTGATTCCATACGATGCAATTCGATTGAAAATTTTGATAATGATGCATGGAATGTGACCATAATAAAAGGAATCCATTTCATGTACGCAACACATTGTGTGCCCGATCTCGATTCTTAACCGACTTCAGAAAAGGATGAAGGTTTTTAATTCACCTATTTTGTTTTCGTTTTTTTTTAGCGTTCCGTACCTCAAAAGGTAAAATAGGAACCTTTATAAGATCACTTTCTTGTCCGTCTGTCTCTCTGTCCGTCTGTCCGTGTGTCACCACCGATTTTCTCAGGAACGGGTAGACCTAGCAAGTTGAAATTTATACCGGATACTAAGGTCTATGGTCCCTATTAGGTGTATAAAAATCAAGGTCCTCCAACCAAGGTCCAAGGTCCAAGGAAAATTTTCGCAAACAACTTGTAAGTACCAAAATTTATCCTAATTTTAAACTTTTTTTATTTTTAGGAATATTCCTTTATTTGTGCTGTAAGACGTTTCTTTCAACCAAAATTAACAATTCTAGGTCAACCAGAAGTACCCTATAGGTTAAGATAAATTTTGGTACTTACAAATTTTCGGGAAAATCTACGTAAAATCTGTTCAGGTACGGAACCCTCGGCGCACGAGTTTGACTCGTACCTGACCGGTTTTTTTTATGTTTGATACTTTAAAACTCCATCATTTATAAGCCGATTTTATTTGAAAAAAGAAAAACAAATGTGCAAATTCTTTTATTTTATTTTATATGGTACAGTTATTATTGATCTTATTCAAAATGGCACCCCTAGAGATGAAAATTAAGGAATGAAGAATAAAGTTTATTATACTACATCGTGATCTAGGCGCGATGAAGTCAGTTATATTTTTTGAATAGTTCATTATGTCAGTCTCAGAAACTGTACTAACTACACTAACTAAAATAAAATAGATATGTTCATTCAATAATAAGACTCCTACAACTCTTCATCCCAAATATAAAATATCAATAATAATTTATTCTCATCTCAGCGGTCATAAAAATGCTATTGTCAGTTTGTTTGTTATTTTAATCCAAAACGGCTTTCCCATAACAACTTAACGATCTCAAGTACTATATTCGACTGTATGCAGATATTTGTCAGGATGTTTTTGTTTCTCTATGAATTATGTTTCTGAGTTCTTTATTTGGCAGCGGTTTTCTGTGTTTTTTTTTCTTGTCACTCGAGCCGGCTTATTTATAGTGAAGCATGGGTCTCTCACGGCACACATTGTCATTTACATTTCAAAATTGGTCAGTGTCTGACCTAGGAACCGCTGAAGTAACAGTAAAAAATTATAGGCACAAAGTCAGGGCCGCGTGCCTTTAATTTTTTGCTTATGTAAAGTCCTAATCCCAAGTCCTATCCTTCCCAGGTTTTTCCTCTGTTCCGTCTGAAAATGATTATATTAAAAAGAGCGTAGGTCAGGCAGGTGACAGGCCATAAAAAATATACCAAAATAGCGATGATGTTGATGATGGTGATGACTCAAAAGATTTTTTGACTATAAATTTTTTCCTAACATAAATAAATCCATAGCAAAATGTTCGCAGATACAATGCAAATTTCCTAGCAGTAATGGAGACTAAAATATTAACCTATATCACACACACACTCTTGCATATAGATAATACATACATATAATAAACACCAACATACACACATACACACGCTCGAATGCATACATAACTATCCACGCTTAAATCACGTGACTGAGCCCAATATACAGGCCACAATGTTTTATATTTTTCAGTGTTTTCTTCATGGAATATTATGAGCGGACAATTCAAAGGTGGGAAAGTAATATTACCAGTAATAAGCACTCCTCGGCCTGAATATCATCTAAGTTTTAGAACGATGGCACATGCTGGACGCGCGGCGAAAAAGGTCAAAGTAACAACCGCCAAAATTTACACAAAAACAGAAGTAAATAAGAAATCAGCAAGGTCCAAGAATCAGTACCGCAAACGGAAAGCTAGGAAATACTTAACGTTCAAAGAATTTATAAAAAGGCTTGGTATCATTTTAGATAATAAACCATATTGAAATAATGGTGATGTCATATTTGTTTTTGTTTTTTTTTTGCACGTTTAGTTGTTCATTACTTTTGTTGGAATTTATGTATTGTTGTGTTGTTTTACATTAATAAATTTAATATTTAAAGTATATATCTGAAATAGTTTGAACTTTTCTGACCTGTTATTAGATTTAGCTGTGATTGCCTTCGAAATAGTGATAACCGCGTTGCGGAGCGCACGCGCCCTTTCGGGAGCACAAAGAGAACATGGGGGTTCCCACACAGGGTCATCGGGTCCGATGGCCCGAGATACGTCGGGGTACCTACTGCTGCTACTGGTACGCGAGACGGCGTGTGGTTTTTAGTCGGTTCGAGTCCAACATAGCCACCGGTGGGTGGTATCCGAGGGGACTTCCGCACAGGATAAAAAAAAGGTAAACTGCAATAAACAGTATTCTTCATGTTCCACTCCGTAAGAAAAGACAATCCTCCTCCACTCCAAAAAAATACAACCCCCATTTGTTATATTTTTTTCAAATTCGGTTGATGCAAAACGAAAGGTATACACTACCAAATAAGGAAGATCGAGATCTTCTTCTTCTGTTGAAGTAAAATACAAACAAACAGGTTTTCGTCTGACACAAGGCTGAATTGAGTCTGTTTTGGGCAACGATGGTAACTCAAGCTGCAAAATTGTCTGTCTATAATTTCTTATGTGGTTCCAAAATTTCTCTTTCTAAGTACAATAAAAACTATGCAGATAAGAACATTGCAGAATTTTTAAATTAGTTTTTAGTGATTTTCTCAATAGCAGATTGAATAATTCCAAAATAGAAACAATGTTCCATTTAAAATGTTTAATTGTAAACGTTTTATCTGATTTTATGAAAGTTTAGCACTATAAATGTTGAAACTTTGTGTCCAATTTTCGTGAGCATTCTGTATAACTTCGGAACGATTAACTATAGACCGCGGTCCAATAGACAAGACATTCTAACCCAGTCCGAAGATCAGTCCGTGATACATAACACTCCCCATAATAACATATCATAAAATCCGTGAATAAGAACGCAGTACAAGCACTTAGACATCTCATGAAAGTATATTTAGATATTTATCGATTCCAGCAACTGGTTTTCTTATCAATTAATACTTTTATACTCTATACCATCACAGCAATTTCAAAGACAGTTATGTTGGGACAACAAACCGAACCTAACGCCAAACAAACAAAGCCTTGGGTCTCTGTTAGTTAGACGTAATTTATTTAAGTAGACCCCAGAGGTCGGCCATATAAATTATATTATGATAATAAGAACACAGAAGAAACATATATTATGATAATAAGAACACAGAAGAAACCTCATTAATATTACTGGGTTTGTATTAGAGATTATTAGATTTCGGTAACACGCAAAAGGTCAGTTGGTTTAATGAATTTATTTACATACATGCTTATCAAATAATTAGTTAACCTCCTTTCTAAGGAGAGGCCTATGTCCAGCAGTGGACTAGTATAGGCTGTTGATGATGATGATGATGATGAGTTAAAAAAAAGTTCAATATTTAGTTCGTAGAAAGAAGTAATAATTTTCGTATTTGGCGGCAAAGTTAGAAGACTATGACCTTTCATCATCCTCCTAACGTTTTTCCCGTACTAGGTTGCTACACGGCTGCTACACAGTCGGCCTTTACAGTTCAAGTAGTAGACGATATCGAAGTCCTGTAGATAAATTGTTCTCGGTATTTTTAGGGATCCAACTAATCGTGACGATTGCCACAGAAGTTTTAATGGCAACCGGGACTGACGCTTAACTTAGCCACGAGCCCCTCTGGACTTTTAATATCCTTCAAATTTTTTCTACTACTCTCTGAAGTGCTCAGTTGAAAACAATAGGCCTGTCACTGTAGGCTTGTAACTATAACATATGTATAATGTACCTATGATCTACAATAAAGATTACTATTACTGTTACTTTTGTCTCCTATGGCGTAAGTGGGACTAACATCATATTCGGGCAACCATCAAATGTGGGCATTGAATATCACCTTTGATGAGATGAGAGTAGGATCACCATCATCGACCTATCAGCGTCCACTACTGAACGAAGGCCTCCCCCAAGGGCCATTAACCATCGCTAAAAGAGAGTACACTTCGCCCACTGAGAAGGGGGGGAGGGGCTGGGGGGGGGGATCTGTTGGACTCTGCTTTCCAATGGCCGGGGAAGCGAGAATAGCAATTGCATTTTTCCGCCACATAACAATACTACCATATATATGTGTGTATTCCGAACTCTTATCAACTTAAATATGAGTATTTTAATGAGTAATGCGTAACTTTATTAATATTTTAATAATTAACTGAATTGCCTACATTAATTTAACTCATTAAATTAAATGCACACAGGATAAAAAGGCTTTAGGCTTGGAACATACTCGTTGGATGCATTTTGATGTTATGAAATATTCTCCACAAATTGGGAAGGGTTGTAAGTTCGATTCCAATACATTTAAGATTACATACATTCAATACATAAAAGACCTATTCCCTAGCACCATACCTCCTCCACCCAACCATATTTGATACGAACTTAGCTAAGCCGCTTTGGTTATTCATTCGAAAGAAGAGCTCACTGAAGTTCTTGGCAATCCAAGGTATTTAAGTAGGTTATAGAGGAATTTATCTGGTATACCCCTCGCACACACTTCCACGGCATACAACGCAATGAAATAATCATTTCTAGTTATTTCGTTGGTTAACTCAAAGTACTTGTTTTTTTTAAAGCGTGGTCTTCCCACGGTACCGTGAGTTCTACTAGTAGTACTCGCTTAATTGACTTTGCATAGAGAAATATGTCCGGTGTGGACGCTGAGGCACAGACATTCTCCGGTATTCTGTAATGATTTTCATACATGTCCACTAATAATATCCAGTCTACACTGGATTTTGTGCGTAATAGGTATGTTTTTTCAACCAACTAACGTAAACTTAGTCCCTGTATTAGGCCTAAGTAAGTAAGTGTGTAGCTCAAAGTTTAAAGTACTGAATTTCAATAACTGATTATCTAATGGCAAACTTTCGGCAAACAGAAAATTAGTAAAAAACAAAGTCACATCTCATAAAAACCTTACGTTCCATCAAAGCCATTTATGGCGCCGGTTTTCAAAGAAGCCCAAAGCATGTTTTTTTCATCATCAAACGGAACTGGAATAAAAATAAATATGACATTTTGGGTTGACAAGGGTATAAAACTTTGGACATCTGTTTCACCTGAGACGTGTTTTGGTTTAAGCCATGTACGCCATTCCGCGTATCTGCAAGTATCGATTCCGAGGGGCCCGAATACGGTTCTCAGAAATAAATATTGAAAATGATTTGCTCTGTTGAGCACCAGTAGAGCAAACATCAGCAGAGCTTGTACTATGGTTTCTAAAGATGATGATGATGATGATGAATGTACATGCATATGCATAAATATGTATGTATAGGCATATCTTTTTTTTTTCTCCTAGCTTTTGACTGCGGCTCCGCCCGCGTGTATGTCAGTTATTGTGGTAAGAAGTAGCCCATGTTACTCGCTGAAAATGTATCTTTCCATTGGTGAAATTGGTTTAGTAGTTTAGGGGTGAACGCGTAACAAACAAACACACTCTCTTTCACGTCCATACATATAAATGTGAAAGTGAGTGTGTGTGTTTGTTTGTTTATAATTGTTTCTAATATTTGAAAAAAAATAAGTAATAGAATAATTATCTGTACTACTATAACTGGCAGTTGTATACTGTTTATGTTTACTTAAGGAAAATACCCAAAACTGCTTTATAGGAAGACTAGCTGACCCGGCAAACGTTGTTTTGCCATAAACATTATTTCAAAATTTATTGTCAAAAAAAAAGTGTATGAAAAATAGATGTTGGCCGATTCTCAGACCTACCCGATATGCACACAAAATTTCACGAAAATCGGTCGAGCCGTTTCGGTGGAGTTTAACCACGCACACTATAGCAGTATATTATTATTGTAGATGACGCACAAAATTCTTTTAATACAATAGTTTTTATTCTATTCTGCGAATATTAGCTCTTTTTAACACACTTTTCCTAGCTACCTACATAATGTATGTAACGAAATCTTTGAACTCGATTTTTACCGCTTTAAGAGGTCAGATTAATTTGCATTTTTACGCTATTGTCAAGGACTATTGACAATACAATAATTCAATAAGTTTGTTGATTATCCTGATCAGGATCTTCAGGATAAATGACTTTTTCTAAATCTACAATCACGGTAGTGTCTTGTACCACGTATTAAGGCGTGTGATGAAGCAAATGTTACTTACTTACCTGTTACTTTTTTAGTCTTTAATGAGAAAATAATCATTTTTGAAGACTAAAAACTCTACGCTTTTAAAAATGTTTTTTTTCTTAATCGCTATTTTTGTTTTTGAACTTATGTAAATCGTACAAAATCGTGTTTTTTTGGTCTTTTTAAAACTATTATTGTTTGATAAAAAAGATCTAGGTCACTGTTTTTTCTCTAAAATATAATTTACAATTGTATTTAAATACAAAATTTATATTTAAATTTAAAATAGGTACGTGACACAATGGCAAGAATTTAAATATTTTAAAACCTTATTAAAGTTTTTACACATTTATGTATCGCCAACAACAACCCGAAAGTAAAATAAACGACAGTATCCACTTTTACTGACTCGAAATGACGGGGTTTATTCGACTCGAGCCAAAAAGCTTTTCTTTCTTAGATAACAAGCCATTTGATCATGATTCCTATTGAGGAAATAAACTACAGATATCTTTCACGAGAACCTCCATCTACTCCGAGTATTTGGTATAAATTACCGGATTAAATTCAGAATATTCGCTGCGGGACATCGTAAAACATGATTTTATGTGATTTCACTAAATGGGCGACGAATTTTATTACAACCGGGTGGGTTTTGAGATTTCTAGGGAAAAAGTTTCATTTTGAGCTGATTGTAAATGTAGGGCATTTTTGAATAGAGAC